ATAGATCAGAGAAAATCACAGATCAAAGAAAATCGAAATGTTGTCTCTCACTTTCAATTATAGCAGGCAGAGAATAAATAAAACACATTGGAGTACAGTTCAATATATATATCTATATTGACTGCGCGTCTCTAAGTACATTGAATAAGGAATTCAAATTCCAGGATATTTAGCAATTACAGACGTAAATTAGGTGGTGAAATGGTGATTCCTCGCTACGTTGAATCGCAATTATTAATCGCGTCTTCACAAAAAACGCTCGCTACTCGTTCACTTATGACACATACATACATACTTATCTCTCTTTCTCTCTTTTTCTCGCTGTATACACCTAGATAACATCAAAATAAATCTATATTTCGCAAATAGAGTAATAGTTATTGAGAGGTTATGTACACGAATGGCGGACTAAAATACTTGCGCTCTTTCTCTCGCATACATCTTTTTTTTCTTGCACACTCATTATTCATTCTTTCACTTTTTTCCCAATAATCATAAACTAATTACTTCGTCATTTACATACATACATATTTATCTTGTAATGCGCAACTACGTCAAAACTATTTTCTTTGTTATTCGTATAACTGCACATTCATGGGACTGAGGATCATCTTCGTCAAAAGGAGCGAGGACCGCCTATACATTGTCTTCTTGCAGGAAAAATTGCAGAAATTTTCATTAGGCATCTATATACAGTGTAATTGTAAATAAGTGCAAAAAATTTTAGGAAATAATTCTTTGTCAAAAATCAAGAAATCTTTCATAGAAACATACTTTTCCTCTTTGACGATAGATATAGATACTTCTACACTCTTTCAAAGGGAGAAGTAAAAATTTTATTTTTTCTTAAATTTTAGACAAAATTAAAAATGTTCCATTTTTTCTAATATTTATTATAATTTTATTTGCTTGTTTTTTTATGTTTAAATTCAACTTCTCGTAACTCGAAACCTTTATAACATTTAGCATCATGCAATTTATGATAATATATTTTTTTCTTAAAAACTATTAAGTTTACAAAAAAAATAAAAGAAATAAAGAAGTTTCTAAAGGATTCAAACTTTCTAAGGCATATTTTTAAATGATTTTATTCTGGAACGTTAAAATATTCTAATAAAAAAATTGAATAGGAATTGTTAGTTCATCTCTTTATAACGATTCGGGATGATTAAATAACATTAATAAATATTTTTATTACGGAAAAATTCCACTAAATTTTATTTTTTTTATTTGTCCAAAAATAGAGAAACCTAATTTTTACCTCCCCTTTGGAGAAGTGTAACTCCACATGAATGATATAGGAGTATTATATACATACATAAAAGTAAAACTATGACTCCCCCTTAATTATTGACAAAAAATCATCTAAAATTTTTCGCATTTACTTAGATTAACTCCGTATCTTTTATAATTCTGTCTCGCAAACACATTGCTTTAATATTCAGATCCGCGTCTATTTAATTGCAAGTTTTTTATTTCCGTTCTTGCGCGCTACTTTCTCGTGTCGATTCTTCGACAAGGGAGAAGCAAAAATTCGAATCAATAAAAAAATTAAATTTGAAAAATCGAAAGAAAACTGCGCAAGATCACAAATTAAAATAAAATAAATAATAAATTTTCATACTTAAAATGTTTCCTACATTATGAAAAGAGAGTAGGAAAAAATCCATTTGATGAAACTAGAATAATCGATTGGAAAAAATTAACATATTTTAATACATATTAATATACATTTTAGTTTCCTGAATGCATTTTCACATATACCTTTAAAAAGAAATATATATATGTGTGTGTGTGTGTGTGTGTGTGTGTGTGTGTGTGTGTGTGTGTGTGTGTGTGTGTGTGTGTGTGTGTGTGTGTGTGTGTGTGTGTGTGTGTGTGTGTGTGTGTGTGTGTGTGTATTATATTTGTTAAGTCGCGCACGCGTTAATCGCCTTCATACAGTATTATCAAATATTCCGTGCTACATTATTTATCACACTGCACTTTTTCCGCTAAGGATTCTCGTTTTTGCTGGCCAATCGTTACTTCGGTGACGTCATCGCAATGCGAAAATCTTGCAATGTACAACAGGCGTATTGAACGCGTTATTCGAACTCAATTCGCAACGAATTTAGCGGTTGCGGCACTTTTAGGCGTGATGCAAATTAAAGGCTTCATTAACACCGTCGCAAGAAATAACGTGCATATCATTGACGTCATGCATGCGAGAATGTGGCGTTATTAGGCGAGAATGCGCATACGCCTTTTCCGTGTATGTACATACTGATTTCCACGCGAACAAGTGCGGTGAAACAAAAAAAACTTAGTTGCAGTTTTCTCGCCTCGAGGACAAAAATCCAGATCAATTGAATTATAATATATATGTATATACAGAGTGTTTCTAAACAAGTGCGAAAAACCTTAGAAAATGGAAGGATTTCTTGTTGAAAATTAAGAAGGATTTTTCATATATTCCTCCCTGAAGAGTTGTACTCCTCCAAAGGAGGAGATTTACCAAATTAAATTTTTAATTTTTTCTCAAATTTTGAACAAAATAAGAAAAATAAAAGAGTGATGGCAAAAAGACCTGTTTTTTCTCCTATTTTATAAGGTCAAATTTTGGGACCTCAAATTTCAAACTTTTTTTATGCCAAATAGTACTATTAGATGAAACATTAATCCCAGTAAAATTTCAAGATAAGCCTAAACATGGTTCCTTAAATATGAAGAAGTGAAAGTGATAATTTCTCATAAAACTGACTAAAAAACATCACTTTCCCCCTTGTATCTTCGGAACCGTGCCTATGCTCATCTTAAAATTTTACTGGGATTAAGGGATGCTGGAGTGCGTTTGTTTTTTTCTGTTTTATCGACAAAATGTGAGGTTAGATAAAGTATAAATGGGTTATTCTTTTTATTGGCAGTTTGTTCATACAAAATAAGATCAGGTCAAATTTAGCATTGGATAAAGGAATATAAGTGAATGTTGTATAAGTTATCTAACCTCACATTTTGTCGATAAAACAAGAAAAAAACAACAGACTTCTCAAAGGCGTTCAGAATCCCCTTAATGTTTTATCTAATAGTACTATTTGCCATGAAAAAAGTTTGAAAGATCCCAGAAATGGGCGAAATTTGCCATCACTCTTTGATGATTTTTTTCTACTAGTAAAAATATTTATTAATATTTTTTTCTTCTATTAATTTTTCCTTTATTAATATAATCTTCCTGTATTATAAGGGAATTAAACTAACTCTTTTCAATTTTTTATTAAAACTTTTTAACCAAACGAAAATAAGATCATTTAAACATATACGTTAGAAAACTTGATTTCTGTTTTATTTCTTTTATTTTTTTCAAAATCAATAGTTTTCAAGAAAAAACACAATTTTTTACTTCCTTCTTTGAAGAAATGTAACTCCTCAGGGAGGAATATAGGAGTATATGTTTGTATAAAAAATACTCCTTAATTTTTAATATAAAGAATCATTTCCTAAAATTTTTCATACTTATTTAGAAACCTGTATATGGTGAGTCATTTTAATGTTTCACTCTAAGTATCTCTCTTTTTATGTTTTACAAAAAAATGTTTGCATAAAAGTTGTTTGACTTTAAGAAGAACACAAAACAACGATGTCAACTTGTTCATTCCAGATAGCACCACTTTCAAGAAATTCCATTAAAATGATCTACCTTTATATCTGAAGAACGAATACACACATTCCCCAAGTAGCAAAGTGACGTCAGAAAACGTCATTATGACATCTATTTTTAATCATTTTTTAGTCTATGACGTCAGCGACTAATAATGGACGTTTATAAGACGTCATTTTTTAAACCAAATAAAGATTATTTTAAAGACGTCTTAAGACGTATTGAAGACGTCCTAATTTAGTTCCTTAATTTATCGCTATGCGACGCACCGCAATGTCCTCTATCTTGCATGTAAGTTTTAGTCAGAGAATTATATAAAGCTGACAGAGACTGTTAAGAGTAAAGTGTCATAAGTATATTCTTCTAATGTAAAGTGTACTCGGCAACAAAAGAATTATTTTTTAACAAATAAATTTACGTACATGTGCGTAATTTATTTATTAATAAGGCATTCTTCTGTTGTCGAATATACTTTAAATTTTTATATTTTATATTATCGAATTCTTACTACGGTTATATGGGTTATAACTGATACTATGTGTATATTAATTGTTAAAATTGTTAAAATTTTATCAATTTAAGTCTTATATTCGTCATATTATGCTGTCAATGAGACGTCAAAATAACCTCGATAAGTCGTCAGAAAATGACGTCAATAAGACGTCAGAAAATGACGTCTCACGGATGTGACATTTCGACGTCATTTTCGGATTTCATAGGACCTAACTGGGACGTCTCATTTGTGACCAAAATTGGCCGTCATTATGACGTCATTTTGCTACTTGGGTCTCTATCTCGATATATATAATTCGTAAATATCTTGTAGAGATATGCGTGAAAGGACATTATAGCTCCTTGCACAATGCCAGGCAACAGGCAATAGGAATAAGAAATAGAAAATATCCACCAATAGGAGCAGAGAATAATATCTATCTCCTTTTCCGATTGATTGATATTTTCTATTTCTTATTCTTATTGCCCGTTGTGTGGTATTGTGCAAGGGGCTTTTTATATAAGTTTGTAGTTCTTCCTTGACAATTAGAACTCAGCTTCTTCATATTTCACCGAACATATTAATTTCCTGTATCCATGAAAATTTGTCGACTGCGTAACTTCAGCAGATTGCATTATCCCGAAAGAGTTCTTTACTGTGTTTCATTACTACTTCCAATAGTAACATAAATAAATGATAATTACTTAGATTTTGCTTTTCGTTTAAAAATAATGTTGTACTTTACTTATAGAGGAACACTTTTCCACAGTATATACGCATTTCCGCCTAAAGATGTATTTTTGAATTCGAGATGAATATATATATATATATAGTTTGAAATAAATATAACAATCTTTTTTATCTTTCTATAATTATGTAAATTGTTTTATATAATCGCTCATGGAAAGAAAATTGATTTTTTGTACATCCACTCAACGGCCACATTTTTTCAAATAATCTAACAATAAGATCACCTACAATATTATGAATAACTCACATAAAAAAGTAGATGATCACTATGGTTAAATCATTCTATTTTTGTAAATTATTCATATTTAGATTATTCGGAGAAAAAAAGTGTAGTTTCTGTTCAATTAAAGTATTTTTTCTCTATACCTTTTTCCAAATTATTCCGTATAATTATTCCCATAGTGATATATACTTGTATGTCAATTTTACTGATCGAGAGCAGATACCGTTTGTCTAGATATACATACATCTACATATCGATAGAGAGTATATATATATATATATGTACATATGTATAGAGGGTGTAACTAAAAAAAGGTATACGAAGCACACCATTAGGTGCAGAACAACAAACTAAATCGAAAAGTTTTGAGCCATTTTTCAATTTGAGCTTTATTTTTGATGCTATAAATTGTTGACATTTGCCAATTAGCATGTGGCTACAACGGAAAACAGCGCAGACGCCGCATACTAAGGCGTACTAAGGCCTACTAAGGCAGCGCCTACACCGTTTTCCGTTGTAGTCACGCACTAATTGGCAAATTTCAACAATTTATAGCATCAAAAATAAAGTTCAAATTAAAAATGACTCAGGACTTTTCGATTTAGTTTGTTGTCCTGCACCTGTGCTTCGTGTACCTTTTTTAGTTACACCCTGTATATATGCATACATACACATACACACACAATCTTACCCTAGCCAAGGAAGATTTCCACAATAGATGACGCAGCCACGCACCAGTACGACTTCTGGATTCGTGCATATTTTGTCTCACGAGATACATTTCTATTTACAAAGATAGAAGGCCCCAGTATGGACCCTTTACCACGGCCTCCACATACCCTCCTCATCCTTGACGGGTTGCTGACCAACGGGCGACGAAGACGGTATACCAACGGCGACTTCGCTGTCCGCGTGACTAGACGGCCTATCCTCGTGGATGATGGGGCCGCCGGCAGGCTCGATCGACAGACGTGCCGATATCTGCTGTTGTCGCAGATGATGATGATCGCCAGAGTGCGCGGTCGAGCTTCTCGAGCTGGCGATCTTCATTTTCTTAGACGTGGTGAAGTCGAGCGGTTGCTCTGGCTGTTCCATTCTTGGGCTTTTGCTGGGCTTGAGGCCGCCAGTTGGATCCTGCCACTCCTGACTGATATCGTCGTGCGGTCGTTTCGCCAATTTATCGGTGGCTTTTAGCAACGACATGTTGGTTGCTGCCCAGATTGCCGTGGGCGGATTCGGTCCGATGCTGATGCCGTTTGCCGCGGCAGCCGCCGCCAGTTGTACATAATGACTTGGCAGCAGGAAGACCACCTGGCCGTCTGGCAATCTGGAGGGTATAACCTGCACCACGGAGAGCATGTTGTTGGGATTCTGCTGTGACGTGGAAGCCTGATCCACCGGCATACCCGCCGGATGATGCGGATGATGCGGGTCCAACGTCGCCGGATTCACTTGGCTAAAGGCGGAGGTCGGTCGACTGCTGTTGTTATTCTCATCGCCGGCGGTGGTGCTGCTGTCGGGTCGAGCAGCTTCGACCATATCCGGGATTTCGGACTTGATCAGATTGGCCGGCGTGAGCGCGGCGGCGCTGCAATGCGGCCCGACCGCCACGTGATGATCCAACGGGCCCGGGCTCGTCGCCCCTACTACCCGGTCCGTCACGCTACCCGGACTACTACCCAAACCGCTATCGGGCCGCGAACCCAGGTCCAGATCCAGCTCCGACACACAGCTGTCCAAGTGACGCAGCAGCCGCTGCTTCACCGCTGGATCCATCGGCGTCGTATTGCCCGTGATGATGTCCGGCGCATCGAGATAGCGGCTTACCTGAAAAATGACAGACCGGCGATATAAATATACAGTGTTGTGCTTATTATTAAATTATTTTAAAATTAGGTAAATAAAGATGAGGTGATAATATATAAATTTATCTTAGATAAAATGAAGATGATTTTGTTTTAAATATATCTAGATAAAAAATAAAATTATATGGCAATTCATCTAGATAACTTTTAGATAATATTATTTTTAAGATTTGTAGGCATTTTTTTATAAAGACGTTAACCGACGATGAGATTAGCTGATTTACGTGTTTTGTTTGTCGACCTCGTGCCGGGTACTTATTTATTTGTAATATTTATTATTGAAAGCGTTCTGAGCGATTCTTTGTTTGTCGAGAAAACCGAAAACACAGTTCTGCGCGATGAACGAAGGTAATTCTGATTGGTCCGATGTTTCGGGTAGGGAAGGTTTTAACACCGGGTATAAATATGCCGACTTTTTGGGAATCGGGACAGACAATAGAGAACCAAACAGAACAGATCATATCTCTCTTCTTCGAAACATCGAACGACGGCGAAAACGGCAAGATACGGCTCTGAAGAATTGTCGACGTGAAGACGTGTAATATTCACAATTGCACATTATACATACATATACATACTATCATTTTGCGTTGGAATAAATTAAACCTTTGGCCTATCCATTGAAACACGATATCCTAATCGAAACGGTGAGAGAAACATTCTATTTCTCTCTCTCACGCCCATCAGACCCCTACAGATTGCTCATGTAAATGCAGTTATAAAAAAATGTAAATTATAAAAGGGATATAAAAATATATTTTTATTTTTATTTTATAATTTTCTATTGCTTACTGCTTAAGTTCTGTTACTTAATAATAATATTTCAGTATTTTTATGTATTATGACTCTAAACCAAATTATCTGAATATTTCTATAGATAAAGAATATTAACATAATTCATATTAACATTATTTTTATACACCTAATTCTATATTTGTATATTGGTCCTGTATTTGATATAATTAATTTGATATAATTTGCATTGCAAAAACGCGAGCCATTATATAATATTACTTTTTTATTATTCTAGATAATTTAATAAAGATAACATTTTTTTCATCTAAGATACAGATATAGATAATACATATCTTTATTATCTATATAATATAACACCAAAACTTCATCTAGATGATCATCTATATAATTTTATTTAGATAAAAACAAAGGTTATAAATATATGTATGCTTTGCAAATATATACTTATGTACTTCTGACACAACCGAAAATGCCATGATTTTATATGAAAATATAGAATAATTTTTTTCCTTATGAGATTGTTTTCGACAAAATTAATTTTTAAAAATTGTAAAATTAATATAATTTTTTTAGCTTTAATAATCTTCAACAATTTTGTATATTTTATATATTATCGAATTTATCTCGACAGTGTTTATTAGAATATTTCTTCAGTGTAACTTAATAATTTTAAAATGTATTATTAATAAATATTGAATGTTTTTTATTCATTTATATCGTTGTCAAGACAAAAAAAGAGCTGTGTTATTAAGTCTTCAAATTTTAAGATTATTTTTCTGAAACAAAACTTTGTATGAAAAGATTTTGTTTTACATTTTCGACGGAATATAATTAGTACTATTTTTTATTATTATTCTCTATTTAATTATTACTATAGTTTTTACAAAATAAACTTGGCAAAATTGATTTCGACGTAACTAGCAATTTTATTCAATACTTTCACGACGTTTCGACCATTTGGTTGTGGTCCTTATCAAGTGAGAATTCCATCAATTAAAATGTAATTAACGCAACATAAAACCGATCTTATTTAAAATTAATAGTTAAAAGAGGAACACGTCCCATCGCTATGATGTTTCGTCAACGACGTCAGGTCGTCAACAACGTAGGTCTAAATAATATTTGCCAGTACGGTCAAGAGAAGAGTTTTACTTTAGACTAGTCTCTCATAACTCGTCTAAGAGTCTTGACGTGTTGTCAAACCGACACTATATTCGTTCTTGACATCTTAAAATTATAATTTTATTTTTATTTTCACAAATCACTTGATAAGGACTCAAAGAAGGATCGAAACGTTGTAATTTAATAAATAATATTTGCCAGTACGGTCGAGAGAAGAGTTCTACTTTTTTAAAAACAATAATCTTAAAACATTTTGCCGATTTTTCAACGCTTTCATATACAGAATTAAATAAAATTAAAAAATGCTTTATATAATAACAAGTTTAATTGCTTATCATTCTCAATGTGATAGTTTAGACACGGGGTGCCGAATATTACATGAAAATCACGCAAAATAAAATGAACCTAAAAAAAACAAACATTGCAGCATTCGAATGAGACTAGCTGCGATACAACAATATTAACATCTTAAAATATTTTAATTCTGTTTAAGAAATACATTAGAAATATGATTTGCCGAACCGTACGATTTAGCATACTTTCCCTTATTTACAAATTATAATTCCATAAATAAGAATAATTTTTGCGTACGCGTGCGGCAATATAAATATCCATGCGAGTCACAACGCCGGAAAAATACATACATATATTGCTGTGGTGCAAATTCCGCTGTCGCGACTGCGGATTGCGGTATCGTGCGTCAGTCATTATCGACCGCCAGGTCGTAATTGAATATTTCGCGCTCGCTCTTTAATCCGCGATTCGGTCGAGTAACGGCGCCGCATGATTATTTGTTACCCGATATGTATACTCCCCCCCTCTCCCTCTCTCTCTCTCCCTCTCTCCTTGGTTACGACCCGTGGCCCATAATTTATTTCGTGCCGGCGATAACGACCGGTGCGATAAAATGCTCTTTAAACTCGTTTCGGTCGGGCGGCGTTCCGACGACGCAACTGTGAACCTTTTACGCGGCCGCATGTTATCGCCACAAATCGCTAATTAACGCGCACTAAGAATGCCTTGCTGATTAATGTGGCGCACGGATTTTATAATAATGCGCTTTATGTGGTTTCAATATTCGTAATAATTCGATAATTTAACAAAAAATATAAAAAATATATTTTTTTTATTCCGTAGTAGAAATTCGAGAAATTGAATTTGAAACCGCACAAATAATTATACACTTACAATACTTACATTAATAACACCGGTAAATAAAAATAAACTTTTGTTTAGTTACAAATGATATTTAAACTTAAAGTATTTTAGGGATGCTAAATCCAAAAATAAAGACAGTTTTGCCAAATTTGCTCTAGTTTTTAAGACAATGGATACAAATTACGATTTTACTCCAATACGACTTATAGCTGACATATGCAACACAAGATTTGGCCTTTTTATTCTTTCACATTATTTTTATCTCCAACGTGATTCTGATGATATGCATAAAAGAAAATCGTACAACAGCATTTTTTTGCATTTAATTGTAATTATTTGAATCAGCTTAACTTTGTTTTTATGTTATTTTACTGAATACGCTATTATATATGGGTATTTCATATAATATACTTTTGTATGATTTGAGATAAAGTATATGATTTAGAGATAGACTAATCATTACATTTTTGCATTTTTTATGTTTTTTATGGGAATAAATATCTTAAAAATTAAACCCACTATAAGAAAATAATGTTATATTCGGCGTCAGTGACACAAAGTTACCCTAAAATGAATTTAATATAATTGGTAATAAAATCTGTGTCGACCAATATGTAATATAAATGTAAAAAAAACCTGAAATTAATTTATATAGAAAAAATTCAGTAACGCGCTACGACAGGATTGCGACCGGAAAGGAACTGAATTGCGAGTGGAAACGGCGGCAGCGATTCGGGCGGAAGCAGCGCGATTGATCTCTAATCGCATAGCGTATCGCGAGCTATATTTCATATTGAGCGCGCGCATCGCTGGCCGACAAAATTATCGCCGTCGCTACTGGTGGACAATAATTTTGCGGACCACCACCGAAAGCGCGTGAGAAGAGCTTTACTTATATAAAGAGGGTCGCTACTTCAAAATAAAACAATACTTATTGTTAGTGGCGAAAGATCACATATTGAATGAATCTACGATCTATGTATGTAGATCTTGAATAGTAAATTTTCCTAAGCAGTGATTAAGAAAAACGCGATTTGCGATATAATCAGATATATACATCTTTGGACAATTGACATACCTAGATTTTTAAATTATTTTAAATATCAAGAAGGAAAAAGTATAGATAGTTATTCAAAATAATGCGTCCCATTTCACATAATTACATCTTTGAAGTTTATAAATACACAATATTTAATGAAACATCAACAAAAAAAATTGTACAAGTTTTGTCTTACAACTTATAAATGCTTTATGTGACTTCCTTTAATTTACGACCATAGTCAAGATGATAGCTATACCCGTTGTAACTTTACAGCTATAACAATGCGATTTTTGAGTTTATTCATAGTTGTGGACAATAGTGACACGATATGTTTAATCCGTCAAAAAAATTGCATAAGATCCGATGATCTAGAGAGCCAGCTATAGAACATCAAATCATAGTGTATCACTTTTTTTAGGATTAAGGATGCTGTATATGCAGTATCGTTGCCCACAATCTTGTGATGAGCTCACAAATCGCATTGTTGTACAATTGTAAAACGATAATGGATATGCTAGAGTGAGCGAAATTTGACTATCGCTCATTTTTTATGTATCACAAATTATTATATATTTATATAAACATGATTATTTGAATCATTTTAAATAACTGTGCATGTTGTACGTCATACGATATTTTGAAATTCCGTTAAAATAAAATTTGCTTCAAGTTGCAGCTTATTACCAGTTTTTTTCAGATCACCAATTAACCTTTTATATATACGTTTGTGAAATTTTCGAGAAACGAATATTTCGGTTTTGAAGCGATCGTCGTTCTTTTATTCTCCAAAATTGCGTAAAAACCGGAGGATGATTTCTCGAGTGCAGTGTGTGTGTGTGGAATATAGTGTACATCACACACGAGGCGCCAGACTCGACAGAGAG